CTTGTGTAGTGGGGTCGGTGTGAGCACAGCAGGCCACAGGGCTGGGCCAACGTGCTCTGGCTGCAGCCAGCCGGCTCGGTCTCCTACTCTAGGTGCTACTGGTGAAGCGATTAACCCTCTTTGCGGCCATCCTGCTGTGCTCCAAGCTGCCGCAGGCACCGGTGCTGTCGGAGGCAGCGCCGCTCTGAGCAAGTTAGTGGTGCTGCCGCTGACCTCAGCGGTGCTCCTGCCCGGCGCTAAGCAGTGGGGCGGCCCTCGGGCCGCCTCTCACCCTGCTCGCAGCCCTGGGGAGACTCCCTCCCGCTGCTCCAGGCCCGATGCGGCTGCTCCAAGTGAGCCTGGAGCCACGGAAGTTTCGTGTGCTGGTAACAAACTTAGCTAATTAAGTGGAGATGCAGATGGCACTGCCACCTAGCAATTTTCACCTCACTTTTACTCCGGCTCCAATTATAGCCTCTCCCTACTGACTTACACTGTTTAAATTACAAAGTCGGGTGGGTATATGACTATTTACCTGTTTCTGCTTGCACAGCGTCGCCTTAGCACATCAGCCGCTTCCTGCGCAAGGCATGTGACACTGGTCTGAAAAGAGAAGTAACTTCATTCTTTAAAAAAAAAAAAAGGAATAAAGCCGCAATAAAATGACTATGCGGAGGCTCATTAGCAGCTACCAGCGTCTGCAGAAAACATATGATCACTGCACTGCACAACGTGTGCTTTTCACACGTGCCGGTTGGAGCAGGTGCCAGGCTTTGGGGAAATGCACTTTAATTGGATAAATAAAAAAACAGCTCTAACAACTAAAGTGGCACAGCCCCCTGTCTTCACTTAGTGTTATTTTCCTGTGAGACTCTGAAGAGCTCAACGTTGCTCCTCTGGGGACTGTCTCTTCTTCCCTGGAGTAAATCATGTTCGTGTAAAGTGGTCATACAAGGGGCTGTCAAGAAGGTGTTGGAATTGCTTGATCCTGCCTTAATGCAGTGGGGTGAATTGAGATCCCCCCCCGCCCCGCCCCTAGATAGTTACTCATGTAACTGAGTGTTATGTGAAAGTGTGGGGAGAGAGGGTCCATGTCCAGCTCTGGGATGGTGCCAAAGGCAATCTTGGGAGGGCTAATCCAGTGCCATGACCATTCAGAACTGCTTCCCATAAAGCTACACCTTTTGGAGGGACATGAGGGATATGAAATCCTATATGGACTAGGATTTATTTGCAAAAACCTATTGCTATCAATCATTCAGTGAACTTTATATTATTTTCTAAAAATGTGTGTGCAGATTAGTGTAGATTGGCAAGGAGCAGTCCTGCAGCTGCGATGAGATGCCAAACGAGGGCATCCTGAGCACCATTAATGCAATGAGTATTGGGCCATTAACTTGATGAAGCTGCTCAGAGCACCCCTGCCTTCTCCTGGGAACCTTCTTCTTTGACCAGGACTAACAGAGGGAATTTCTGACAGGCAGCAGCACCAGTTCCTGCAGGTTCTGGTGTCCCTTCCCCCCTCAGAGCTGTTGTTCGGATCAGCCCATGAAGAACGATGCGTGGAGACCACTTCATGACACCCAGGCAGCTGGCGGAGGGAACCAAGAAGGAAAATGGCCCTCAGGGAGCAGCTTTGCCCTTTCCCTTGGGAAGCTGCTGGGCGAGGGGGCTGACCCAGCTCAAGGTGCCCATGGGGTTTTCCTCAGCTGCTCGTGGCTCCTGGGGCCTGTGTGGTGTTGGTGGTGCGGGCACCATGGCCCAATGGGCATCACCAGGACGGGGCCGCCCGGGACGGCCGGTGGCCTCCGGGGCAGCAGGGGGACAGGGAGCTGCGGGCGCCTCGCGCTCCCCTCACGAGAGGGCCTGGAGGCTTCAGGAGGCCCTCACAAATCCGAGCTCTCTTCCTCCATGAGGGAACCCACCACGTCGCTGCTTTCTGTGGGTATTATCCATGGGTGTCTAAGCAGTCCACATTCACATTAATGTGCAGTATGCAGGCATATTTTACCAACCCCTGGTACCAGGGAGATGATTATATACTCTTCTCTTATTTATCTGTTTACCACCATTTTCACGCAAAATTAAAGGTTCAGGCAGCATCCTCTAAATCAGGCCTACCAGGCTCAACAGATTTATGCCCTGTAGAAGAGCCTCCCCCCCTTTATTAACATGTAAAACATGGAGATGAAGTCAGTGCTAAATGATGATCTATTTTGGTGGACCACACGTGCTTAAATCCCAGCCTTGATCTCTTAAACTATTGAGTCTGCCATAAATATTTGATGATGAACATGCTCATAAAAAGCAAATGTAGAATATGAATAGAGGGACAGCAAATGTGTGATTCAATTTTTAATTACCATCGCCTCCCTCTGAAGTAGAGTTCATCTTCCGCAAGAGACAGAAAATAACAATTTCCATCCTTGCTGTTGCATACTTTAAAAGACCAGTGTCACATCTGTTTGGGTTTTGAAGGAGAAGGGTAAAAGCACCAGGGAAACAGAAGAACCAGGACACAAGGATTAAGGTAGAACAGTCTGATTTTATTACATTACATAAACAAGAGCTTTTCTATCCCCATTTGTTTCTCTCTTTTCCTTCCTTCCTTCCTTTCTTTCTTTCTTTTTCTTTCTTTCTTTTTTTTTTTTTTTAAACAACATACATTAAGTTGAGTGAATCAGATGTTAGGAGGGACGTGGAAATGAAGGGAAACTGGTGACATCACAATATTCTACAACTTTACAACAAAATGAGAGTCTGAATTTGTTGCATCTACCAGTGTATAGCAAGGGCGGAAAGCAAAGGCACACGTAGGTTGATGATCCCCTCGGAGCGAAGGGTGGAGGGGGACGGGGCAGGAGGGGAACGAAGACCCACTGGGTGCCAAGCGAGCGCCTCAAGAACAGCCCAGAGCCGCACGCTGGGCATCGCAGCGGCACGTCGCTGCACAGGTCGCTGCAGAGATCGCTCGTTTCTGCATGTTGACAGCATGCTTTGCCACGCTAATAGCAATGGGCTCTGCACGCTTAGTACCCCACGGGTCTGGTGCTCGGTAAAAAGGTTGCAAGTTGGCTCTTTGAAAAGAAAAAAATAATAATGATGACCTTGCTACCTACTATTTTCAAAGGTTTTTTGTTTGTTTGTTTTTTTTATTAAAAGCAGCAACATTGCTTTGGATACAGATCTATCTACTGCAGTCTGCATAGTTCACTAAGGGTGAACAAATCTGTTTCGTAAAAGAAGCCGTGATGAAATGAAAGAACATGCGAGCACCCTTGTTACACACTTTGGTCTAGACCATCCAGACTTTCTATATACCGTCTACAAGCTACCGGACTTGAAATCTTTCCTTTCAATCATTCAGAAACAAAACTGAAGCCCTGAAAAACAAATGAAGTATAAAATTTTAAAAAACAAATTGAAACAAAACAGCCACCTTACTTGAACATACTGTCCCGTAGAGAGAGAGATATATATATATAAAAAAAAAGCTCAGAAACAAACCCCCTCATTTTTTTTTTCTACAGTATGTTGACACAGTTATTATAACAGATTAAAAGCAAATATACCTTTGTGCATCAACTCAAAACCTGGAAAAAAAGGACTTACACACCTGCGCGCTCACACAGAAACATCCCCCTTTGCGCGCATACACACGCACACGAGCTACATGCACAGCCACGCCAACGGAAAAGAAGGGGAGGAAAGAAAGCAAAAGTCGTGGCCCCCGCCGCGGGCTGCGCGGCCTCCTCCTCCGCCGAGGGCCGCAGCAGGGCGAGCCCCATGCCGCCCCACGCCTGCCCCACACTCGCCCCATGCTCGCCCAGCGTGCGCTGCCGTGGGGCTGCCCGCGAGGGGAGGCAGAGCAGGCCCCACACAGAGCCCACGGCCCCGGCGAGGAATTGGCACCGGCGGGAGCTGGAGCGGGATCGGAGCTACGGCACGAGCCTGATTTCCCGAGGGACGTGGCGTTGTGACAGCTGCCACTACATTCCTCAAACTGAACTTGCGCTCCGGGTCTTGAGGGGGCTTGAGGAGGGAGGCTCAATAAATATTTGCGTTGTTCAAAGGGGAAAAGAAAAAGGTTTTACGTACTACAGCTCACAATTATACACAACTGAGGGTGTAAGGCACAAATTTACATGTGGAAGAAAACAGGCTATTCACAGATATAATCCCACGAAAAACCCGTGTGATAAGACCATAATTTATGCATGGTAACAGCCGGCATATTAACTAGTTCACACCGTTTGTGGATTTTGTTTGCCGTCTCACATGCAAGGTGAAATGAGATGGCACATCACAAGCTGGTGCCTTCACAGAAAGTATTAGCTACTGACAAAGCCATGTTGATAGCAATGGTGCACGGACGTGCAGCTTGTAAGAGTTTCTCTTGCGTTAGAAGTTAAGAACTTGCGGGACTTGCTTGCTGCTGTCTTAGGTCAGAGGCCCAGCCAGCGAATTAACTGAGAGACTTAAATAAAATATCCCCTTTTTGTTTCTCCAGCTAATCAGGCAGTCCAAACACAAAGTTCAGAATTCCAGCTCCATTGTAATCAGTGAATCTATTCGAAAAATAAGAGTTTTAATTGCTCCAGTTAATGGATTTCACGTTAAATAGGTATTACTTTCATGTACTTTTCTGAAGAGCTGCTCATAGGATGATATGCAGAAGTCGTTTCCTTAGGAAAAACCAAAAGCTGAACAATAAATAATAGGAGTTACTTGAGTTAACAGTCACATGTTATTTGTTAAAAGAGAAGAGAAGCAGAAAATCTATGACATAGTTTGCCCAACATGGCATTTGACTGCTTTAACTGAATGGCTGTAACACTGATGGGCGTTTCACAGTACCTGCACATAGTAAACTTCTGCCGTTGTTAAATCAAAGTTAGCTTTATCAATGGATTCTTTTTTTTTAATTTTCTTTGTTCTTTGTTCTTTTTTTCTTGTCTTTTTTCTTTTTTTTCTTGTTTTTGTTTTTCTTTTAATTGTTTGCTTTGCTTTTCAGAGCACTCTTTCCCAGTTTAGGAATGCACTGTGCAGTTGTGGGGGAGTGGGGTGAAATGTCACAGTCATCTTTTCATCTGTGTGCTTTTGGCTCAATGATTGTGATGGAGAGTTAGTCTTTTGAGCAAGGAACTGGAGGGTTGTGGGGCGGGGAGAGTCCTGCAATTGCAAACCTTTGACCATGGACCATATGGCTCGGGTTTAAAAAAATATTCCACTTTTCCCAGAGAGCAGAATCAACACATCCTCTGCTTATCAACCACCATCTTCTCAGAGGAGCGAGCGACGCAGTTCCAGAACACTGGCTTTCCAGGGCAAACTCTGCTTGATTGCTGTTCCCCCCCCTCCCCACCGACCCCCAACCTCACTGAGATTATGTGCATGTGTCATTGGGCTTCATGGATGTGGAGAGCGGGGCGAAGGAAGGCTTGGGAGGAACGTCTGGCTTTAGCGAGGGCGTACGCTTGAGCCCCGGCCTCGTGAGCGAGTTGTACGCGGTGAGGCTAGGCTGTCGGGATACAGTCACAGCCTGTGCCTGGGCAGCGTGGACCTGTATGGAGTCCACTCGCTGCGGGGCGGGCGGCGGGTTGTCGCCCCTGCCGAAGCTCTGGTTTCGGGAGAGGTGGGACGAGTTGGAGGAGTTGGTGTTGTTGCGCTTGAGGGTCGATGTCTGGTGGCTTCTGGTGAGCGAGTTTGTAGGGTAGTTTCTCTTGTAGTCCACGCTGTAAGCAGAGGAATGCATTTCCAGACGCTTGCTGAGCCCGCTCTGTGACAGCGAGGTGCTTGGGGGCCCCAGGGACGCCTCCCGCTGCGGTACTTTTGGCGGCATGCTGTCCAGGTTTTCCACCAGGTTCACCCCGTGGTTGGGGCTTTTGCTGCTGAGATGGTCCTTGATGGTTTTGTACTCAAGGGTGGCGTTCTGGTCCTCCACAGCCATCTGGGCCACATCACTCATTTTCGGCTGGTCGACGTACTCGTGCTGGTAGCCTTGCTGGGAGATGGGCAGGACCACCACGCTGGGAATGTGGCTGGGAGAAGCCCTGAGAGGCAGGTCGGTGGGGATCACTGGCGAGGCCATTGGGGGGATATCTTTTGTGCAGGCATTGATGAGGTTCTGGTTTCTTTCCCACTCCCTGCTGCCACGGCTCGGCTTCCTCTTCTGCTGCAGGGTTGGAGTAGACTCGGGGGTTGGCAGGGCGGCCAAGTCCAGATGGTGCTGGTCGGCTTTGATCAACATTTTGGCAGTGCTGCCCGGGGTAGCCAGCTTGCCGTTGTGCATCAGGGGCGTGAGGATGGCTTCGGGCTTCGGCTCCTTGGACTGAGCGTCCCCAAAGAGGCCGCTGAGCTTGGTAACACTGCTCATGGAGCCGCGGCGGGAGTGGGTCAGCTCCTTGTCCTTCCTCTGCACGACAGCCACGTCTCTGCGGCGGTGGTCGCAGATGCAGTACACTATGATTCCCGAAAAGATGGCACCCATGACAAAAGCAAGGATAACGGCAATGGCCAACAGGGTGACCGGCACCAGCTGATCATGGCCCTTCAGATAACTCTCGCGAATCACTCCTGCAATAAACAGCACACAGTGGTTAAACAAACCAAGGACGGGGAAATGGTACTTGGCATCAGCTGCTCCACTCAAAGGCACCACCTGGGAGGCTTATTTGTTTTGCACGGTAATTTTTTTATAAGCTTAAAAGCTTGTCCAAATTTAGAGACGTACTGTACCCGCCAGTCAGGTCTTACTTGCACAGCACTAGGCTCTCACTGCAGCATTCACATCGGGGGTTGGACACAACAACACTGAGGAGGGCAGAGAGAATGTCCTTGCGGGGGCTGCAGTCACCTTGGACCCCTAGGCCTGGGCTAATTCCCGCTAACTTCAGAAGGGGGATATATTCAGATATACTGCTCATCATCTAGTTATTACTACTATAAATTATCCACATGGAAAATGCTTTAGATCAAGGAGACAGAAGCTCTACAAATACCAGAGGAGCACATCCCACGTTGTTTCAGGCTTCTTTCTCTCCTAGTCAGGCTGTTAAAATTGTCATGTGTTTTAGAAGTCAGTGTCACATGCCTGCGCTTCAGGAGGAAGCTTAAATAGCTACTAAAGATAAGAGGACCAGTGCTGAAACATACTGAGCCTTCTGGATTTCAGCTGTCCTCGCGAGGTTAATTTTAAAAGGTCCCTCCTGTTCTGGGCAGGTGAACAAGTTGACCTCCATGGTGAAGGTTATGCTTTTTCAGCTGAAAGATCTGACCACTTTGTGGCCCTGAGCTCAGGGATTACTGTCAAGTCTTACATGCCTCCCCTATCACTTACTGTCAGAAAAGGCATCTTCTCTGCAATCTGAAATCTCTAACACAGCATTTATCAACACCCTGAACTCCTGAAGAGAGTTGCTTTACTGACGTAGTTATGCACTAATCTAGCAGTGTTAATGAAATATGGGTGCTGAGCACCTAGTTTGCCTTTTTTTTTCATTTCTGAATTTGTTCTTCATGCTGAACAGAGAGCAGTAAGTGCCCGATTAGGAGGAGCTGAAGGAGCATCTCCCCAGCTCCCTTCTCCAGAGAGTGTGCAAAAGCAAGGGCATTAAAAGCCCCACACGCTTGGAGGAAATGTAAACCATGTTCTTATTACAGGAGAGACAGCAAGATGGAAAATGTACCTCTAATGCCCTCCTGAGACTTTAGGATGATACAAATCTTTCATGTCATAAATCAGCTCTTTCTGGAATAATGTCTTTTTATGTCGTTGGCAGACAAGGTATTAGTGGCCCGGAACCAAATGCAAAGCACTCCTCAGCAAACTGTGTCGAAAGAGCATTGAAAAGTTGCCATTGGCTTACCAAAATCGTGGGTAAGTATTCTGTCTAGATACGGTGTTACCTCTCTGTATTCCTCTCTATTTAACTGGAGCACTTTGGTGGACAAGTGATATTTGCATAAAACATAGGAACTTTAAATTTAAAAGCAGAGCCGCTCTTGAAATCCTAATCGCCTGCTTGTGACATCACAGCTGGTTGCCATGGAAATTATTGTGCAGAGACAAATGGAGGATTATGATTTCACAAGGAGAATAAATAGCAAGAACACATGACCCCTTAAGAAACTAAGATCCTATATTCATATGAATGTCTTAACAGTAAAAAAGGAGAAGAAAATAAACCTCAGAAAACAATATACGAGGAGAAGCAATCTTCAAATGATTCTGTGGGTATCCTTTATAGCCTAGCAGCTTTTTAAGAGTCAGGTTTTTCTATTCTTTTCCTTGAGCACTTAACGCAAGGCATCAGAATCCAGCCCCATAATTTAAAACCGCAATGCTGCTTTATATAGATGAGAATGGTCTAGCGGTTAAAGCACTATTAGCAGGAACTGCATTTGACTGCAGAGGCTTGGTCTCCTATGGCCCTGAAGCAGCTGACATGTACATGCCTGCAGTGATAACTTGCAATTGTGGCACAGAGGTGAAATACTGCAGCCTTGTTTCCAAAAAAGCCTCTGTCTGGATTTGCACAGGGACCCAAACCCCTATGACCTAAGGTATGGGAATGCTGCCTTAATGCCCACATGGGGCGGAAGCTGCATAATTAAATGCCCAGTCACGGGGAGGGATGTTTCCCTCTTCCCAGGAAGGGAACACGGCAGAGGAGGTGTTAGGCACTCAGGAGCCCACCCAACACGCTGGGAGCTCAGTGGTAGATAAGGATGGATTCACAATCCGCTCCCTGTGCTTCCAACTGGCTGGGTGAGGTGGTCTTCCCTGCTTGGCTTTCACCCTTAGGCCAAGCCTGAGTTGTGAGCGATGGCATCGAAAATGCAAACCAGCACCACCACCGCATGCAAAAACAACATGAGCCCCTGCAACTGGCTTTACCTTACCAAGGGACTGACCTACTCAAAACTTGTATTACAAAATTACCACACAGTCAGGCTGAGCGATTGTGTGTATTCAGCACAAGGGTAGCTGGAGTGATGCAGCTCATTCTGCAGGTGTTTTATGAAATTTATGAGGGCCTTCGGACTGTCTGATTGCAGCTAGTTCTTCTTGAGAGGAACCTCAAACAAACCTTCCTGAAGTCTATGTTTTTTTCCTATAATACACAGTAGAGTTAAAGGATACATAACATTGCTCTAGGCCAGGGAATCCTCCCTGGACCCAATGTCAAGCTAATAAGATAGATGATTTATTTTTATCATGGATCACATTCAAGTATCTTTGCTTATGCAAGCAATCCCAACAAATTTAACTTAAATCTAATGATGTAAGATAGGCAAGATCTGATTCTGCATTAATAATGTTTATGAAGCAGATAAAATTAAGTAATGAAAAAGTATGAGGAATGTTCAGCATCCTACTATCACAACCACAGTTTGGGGGGGGCAATCTAATGTGAAATAGGTTGACAATCACAGCTGCTGTCAATCAACATCCCAAACTGTTAACATAATTAGTGATTGCCTTCATACACTGGGATGAATAAGCAACTGTGTGATCCTAGTTATGCCTCCAAAATGTGTCAGTTTGGAAGCAAGTAAATAGTGTTTATGCGTCTTTACATACTGCACTGTGTGTGCTTTTATATATTCTGCAGTTCTCAAGGAAAAATGTAGTTGCCTAAGCTTAGTCCAGCATCTTTCATTAGCATTCATTATTCAAAGAACTAAAGTAAATTGAAAAACTCATGGGAAAAATGTGGCGCCTACCTTTTAAAAAGTCAAATAAAGTACAAATTATTTAGACTCTCAGCTTTGAGGAAAATCTGCTATTGAAAAGTCTTATTGCTCTGTGTTTTGTGGCATCTTTCTTACACACTATAGATTGGAAAACTGATTGGTATAAAATGGTAAGGAACCAAACCATAAAATACAATAGTTAAGAGATATAATTTTACTTTTAGAATATGGTATTTAGCACTTTGCTCTTTGAAATTTGTTCTTTCCAAATATGAAAATACATGACATTTGATTTCATATACTTTGAATTTTTCATACCTCCTCTTCACTATTTTCTCTAGTATGTGGCGATGTATCACCTTAGATAATAAATTGCCATGTCTGGAGATGGATTTTGTTTACAGAATTACCTGTATGAACCCTGCACTTAGGAAGGGCCTGTCAGTAACAGTCACAGTAAAACTCAACAAGCTTCAAGAACAGATAAGGTTAAAATTTTGCACCTGTGAGGATCAGGCCTTGTTTGTAGCTAATGCCATAAACATGCTGACACTTAGATATCTCCCAGTTAAGTCCAGCTCAGTGTCTATTGCAAATCATAGCTGGACTTCTCACATATGGGGTACTACCATCTCTGGCTACCAATAGGGACAGGTTAGTCACCTGATATCCTCCTCTTTTCATGGCTATTCTGTTTCCTATAGAAAACCTGATCTGTCCTCCTGTTCCAACTTATGGTAATTCCATCCCATGTCCCTTTTTTTTCTGCATCTCCAAACATTCCCATTCATTTTCTCAGACTGCATAGCTGCAGTATGAGATGCAACAGTCTGAAACATGCAAACTCCTATTTTCTTACTTATCTAATGAGAAAGAAGACCTACCATGGAATTACATTATTCTGCTGTGTATAACTCATTCTTTCCTCTAGAAGAACTTGTCATTAAGTTACAGGCCAATACCTTGGTTGAGAAGACATTAAGAAAAATGTTTCCAAACCCTCAAAATGTTTCAGTTCTGACAAGTTAGTGCCTGGATAAATCAGAAGACCAGAATATTGATCTAGCTTGTTCACCAAAGATAGATGGGGGAGAAAGCAAGGAGAGGTTCAATTTTATGTCAAAAGTATCTGAACTTTTTTCAGGTGTTCTACAAGAAGTGAGAATCCGACTTGTTGAATGTCTGTGGGAGAAGAGAAAAAAGAACAGGGGGTATGTAGAGATTTACACTCATCTCCTGTAGAATCATAAGGAGGAAGGAGATGAGGCTGCTTCTTTTGAGCAACTAACAAAACTATTCAAAATGGTTAGAAATCTATCTATACACCTGTTTAAAGACAGTATGACAAGATTTTCTCTGCACTGAAAGTATTATTGTAAGAAAATGCTGCAGAAGATATTCTGGGCATCTTCTGCTAAGTCTCGTCTAATAGGAAATAACTTTTGAGGGTACAAATGTAATTAAGATGAAATAATCACAAATGGAATAGAATATCCTAAGAATACATAAAATGAGCATAACAGAATAAGGATAATGGATGTCAGAAGAGCAAACTTTAATAAAGGAGGGCAAATAATGAGAGACAGAAACAGAAACATTTACTTTTTTCCCTGCCTCACTTTAGCAAAAATCTCTACTCTTACGTGGGATCAGAAATGTCATAAAATTAGGCAATGGAGGGCTGATCAGAATAAAAAAGAAATGACAAGAATATTCAGATCATGCAGATGTTTCAAAGTGTCTAATGGAATTTATCCAAGACTACATGAGCAACTAATCAAAGGATGCTCTAGACTTTGTGGAATATCTGGGAGAATGCTGGATGAACCACAAGAATCCAGAGTCCTGGAAAAGGACAGACATATTATCTCTCTTTG